ATAGTGCAGGAAGGAAGAGAAGAGGCCATATCCCTCTCCAGCTCCCTGTTCCCGATACGTTGCATCCTCTCCCGAGAGAAAAATCACAGCACGCAGCCAGCCATGAGCAGCACATCCAGGAACAGAAAAAGGGGTTGAAACAAAAGCCCTGCACACAGCTCCTCCCGGCCCAGCAGCTCCCCAGCACTGCCTTTCCATCCCCTGCTGCAGCTCTTGTGGGTGCTGGCTGATCTCTTTAGATGAATGCCATGGGCATAAAACTGTTCGCACTGCTTACTTCCCAAAAATGAAGATGGACGTTACTCCTTTCACAGGAGCAGGCATAAGAGGGAGAAGCTTCGACCCCAGACACAAGCTTCCTTTTTGCATTACCAGTCAGAGACAAAAGCTTGGTTCTATAAACAATCACAGTGATAACAAATGAAAGGCAGTTATTTTTATCAGTTTTGTTTAGGTAGGAAAAGTTTGTGGTTTTTTTGTTTGACTGTTTTAAAGGAACATCTTTAATGAAAGCAGGAATGTTCTTTGGACTAAAAAGTTTCACTGAACCAAGATCATCAGAACCACACCTGGGAAGTTTCTGACTGGCATTACATCACTGCATCAGCCCTTCTGCTAAAACCCAACCATCCCACCAAGGTCAGTGGGCCTCAGCTGGCCTGCAGGCTCCTTGCTAAATCCCTGTGCATTGTGTTTGCAATGAACCATCAGAGGGATTTATTGTTCCTTTCTTCAGTTCGATGGTAAGGCAGTTTCATTTTACAGCTCCTGCCCAGAGTGCTACTAAGACTGTTAGTAAAATTTAGATGAGTTTTCTTCCATCTTTATTTTCCTCATGTTTCCAAACAAGGAAACCAGGCAGTTCAGGATCATTCCCCACCAAACAGCTAAGACTGAAGTCCTGCTGTTACTTCTGTAGCCACAAGCTCCTCATCTGACAAGAGATTTGTCTGTTAAGGAGTGCAGGATTTGACCTTCCAGGAGAGATCTGCCTTAATGAAATGCACACAGCACGGCCACAGCGGCACTCTGGAAAGCACTACAGAGAAAGACTATTGCACGTCCCCAGCAAAGCTCCAGTTCCACCAGCCTGAGCTAAGATTCCTCAGCTGCTTTCTAAAATGCACCTTGCAAGAAACTACAATGAAATTGAGAGCAACATTCTTTTGTTTAACAAATCTGACAAAAGGAAGCTGAGTCAGACTCACTGCAGGATGCAGACCTCCATCAGTGACAAAGGGAAAATGGCTCCCAGTGGAAATGACTGAGAGCACTGCGCTGCTCTGATTAAAGGCCCCAGAAATAACCAACTTTTCGCAGAGATTAAGCTTTCCACATGCAGCAGTAATTGTTATTTTTTAAACTTTAAGCAGCATTACTTCCAGAGGCTTCAGACAACTGTTAGATATGGTTGCATATTTCAAATGGGTGGGGATTTCACAATTATTGTCTAAACTGTTCCAGATTAGCATTTCAGCTTTATTTTTTGTAACTGAAGGAAAGATTGCGCTCTCTTCTAGCTGGCCACAAAATACAGACACGAGTCTTATCACCGTGACTGAACTTCAAGTCCTGGCAGACCTTTGCACAGTGCCTGCAACACGCTGCTTCTGGGAAGATGGACCACAAGGTCTCACCCTCATCAGCTCTTAGAAACATCACCAGCTGTCTCTGGCTGTGATGACAACTTAGTAAGGGTTTATTTCTCAGATGAAATTTTACTGTAACTATTAGTACTGGCAAGGAAAAAAATGCGTGCTTACTCAGTGAAAGGCATGGGCTATTCTATCAAGTTGGCTGGAATTTTTGCTGCCTAGGAAAGCAAAGAACTTTTTCTTACAGCTACAGTTCCCACTCATTCTTGGAGAACTTCACAGCCCATTAATCACATTGGGCAGCAAACAAGCATTACAAGGAAAACCTGAAACAAGATGTTACTGAGAGCTGCTATCATAAAAGTCATATTGCTTTCCTGGCTACAGAGAAAATAATGAAATCTGAGCTTTAGATCACCTGAACAACCTCCTCAGCAACATACAAAATGTAATTCAGAAAAAAAGATGAAACCTCCAATCTCACATTTATTCTATGCAATTGTAAATACCATCAATTTATACAAACCCACTCCCAGGTATCCTTGTATAGTGAGAACAATCAAACTTAATAGATTTAGCATACTAAATGAGGGCTCTGCTTCTGCCCATTATAACACATTACTCCTTTCAGCAGTTACAAGATGGCAGTTACTAGTTTAGATTCACAGAAAAGTCAAATTCAAACTACACACCAGCACCTTCAAAGCAAACTTGAGATCTACCCCAGCCATTAAAGGAAAGACTATTTTTATCTCTGCTAGCCTGAGTAGTCTGGAATGCTGTTCAGACACCAGCAAGGAAGTAACCTTGTAAACGTTCTTAGGAAGAGATGCTGATCTGAGCCACGCACAGCTAGCCCAGGTGCCACGGAATCATAAAACAGCAGCTAATAGACATCCGTGGGAAAACCTCTGGGAAAAAAAGTGAGTGAGCCATTAGGAGCAGCTGGAGATAACCAGTCAGAAAACTTGGACAGCACTGCTGAACAGACAAGGTAAAAGAGTTGGTGTCATGTGGAACAGGAACCTGACAGCAGCAAAGGTGTGAAACACAAGTACACAGTTAGCACTCCTACTGCTCATGCCACCAGCTCTGTCCGTAAAATGAGTCACACAGAGTAGCATGAAATTCCTACACGCTAAGGATGCTCTTCACTTTTTACCTTTCATTTCCAGAAGTTTTGCTATTAGGTAAGATAGGCATCCAGAGGGCAAGTACATCAGTTGATGTTGCCTGATCACACACAGGATGCTTCCCGTTAGCAAAACTTGACATAAAGTACTGATATTTTGTTTAAAACGTTATCACAGTTTGCAAAAGCACCCAACTATCAAGGGCTTTTTTCTAACTCTTATCATTTAGCACTGATGATGAAAAGTCTGGAAGTCCAAGGTCTACAGGAAAACTGGCTTGGTAGCATCTTGAGTCAGCAGCTTTGAAAATCTGATGGAATTCACTACTTAGAAAGTGTGATAGTGAAAATATCTGGGATTAAGTAGAGGAAATGAGGTGCTGTGAACCATTAGTTTTCTACTGAGAGGGATGCAATTTCAAATTCAATAAAATTTCCATGCACATTTCCTCATAGCCAGAAAGAAACTTCAAATAATCACTTCAGTATACATTAGATCTGTAAAACAGAATATAAAAGATCTAGAGATTTTAATAAGATGCTTTAAAATTTAAATGAAATTATCTTCCTTATAGCCCATAGAATGGTTTTTGGTAACTCTACTGAGCTCTGAAACAGAGGGTGCTGAAAATGTCTTTAGAAACGTTCTCGTGTCTTCCTTGAACTTTCCAGTAGAGATAAAACAAGTACCTAAAACAAAGCTTATTTAGTTGGCATTAAAACAGACCCTGGTAATCTAGGCCTGATGCCTCAGGGCACAGAAAACCTAGGTCTATTCTCATTCCTTTCTTTGGGTAACACACATGAAGGGCTCTCTCATCCCCATCCTTAGTTTAGATTAGCTAAATAGCATGCTCACTCCCAGGTCCACAGATATGAACATCAAAGGCAATGCAACGGTCGTAAACACAGTTGAAGTCATTTGCAAAAGTAAATCATATCTGGGACTGCTGTCTGCTGTGGGTACCACTTTATCACTGAGCTACATCCTGACCTGATAGCTGCAGTTCCCTGGAAAACTCTTTATCAACATCCTCCCTGCTCTTCTCTCAGTAACAAAATGAGAACAGCTTATTTTCTTGGAAGGGGTCTTAATACTCGCTGGTCTCCCTAAGTAAGACTTTGAAAAATGCCTCCTCATTTGTCGCTTAACTTTCTGAATAACAAATGTATCAAAATTTTCAAAACACCCATCTCTGCAGCTGTATATCATAAGAATGTAAAATAACACAGCCACTTCTAGCCTTTGAGAAAGGTAGAAAATCAATCCCATCACCTGTGCTGAGTTGTGATGACAAATAAGATCTAGAGAACATTTAACTGTGGATCATTATTATTTAAAGTCCTACTTAAGGTATGTTGAACATTCGCCTACTTTTATTAAAACTGCCTTTGGTTGTTTTTTTAAGTGGGTTTTGATTTAAGTTTCACATTTCTCAGATTTCTTTCTGCATTATTTAATTTTAAAAAAAAAAAAATCCTCTTTCAGTTCTTTTGTTCAATATCAGAGCTACACCTCTGCCTCCAGCTTGTGAGATGTAGATAGGAGTCAGCCAACAACAGGTGCAAGAAGAGCAGACATCTTGGTCCTAATAAGGTTTGGGTAGTCAGGCTAGGCTGTAAGAAAGCCCATAGGCTCATCTGACTGGCCTCACTGAACAACCTGCTGATGTAAACTTCAGGCAGGTGACAACATCAGAAGCACCGTGCTCTGCACAGCCAGCCTCAGTACCACCCACCCTGCTGGCTGCCATGAACGGCTTAGAGGCAGAATGCTGAATCTAATCAAAATGCTTCAAATTCTCATTCTGGAAGGCCCGTCCACACCGTCTTCCATCTGAGGTCATAATTTTACCCATGAAAAATACTGACAAATCCCGTTTAACACCCAGCCTTCTCAGCTGTATGAGGACTTCAGCTTTCCAATTTGCACGTATAAAAACCCTTACAGAGACATCTCCAAATTGCTTTAAAGCACCCTGCTTGAGCAAAACAGTCATAGTCTGTGCTGATCAAATATCAGACACTATTTAAAGTATCATTTTTTATAATCTCCAAAACTCTTTATAAAATGACACTCAATACTAACTTTTGCCCCAACTTTTGCCTTTCTCTGAGAGCTGATTTCCTTTTATTCAGCTGCCTCATTAGAGGCAGTAACAAATAAGTCACTAGAGCAATAATAAGGCTAAGTTTATCTTGTTTCCTCCACTCCCTTTTCTCACTGTATTACTAAGAGTTGGAACAATAACAGGATGCCGGGATGCAGGATGGGAAAAGGCGGATTCCAGCTGGAAAACCTTGGAGATTGGGTTGCTGAACACTCCCAGTACTGCTTAACGAAAAGTGAAGTGGATTTTTCTGTTTGTTCTTCTTTTTCTATGTACTGCTTAATGTTTTGGGACACCGCTGAATTTAGTTTGCCTCGTTTGGGAACAAAGTGAAGCTCTACAAACTCTGACTCAGGTAAGGAATAAATGCTATTTGCCGTCCTTCAGCTGTGGAGGTAATTGCAATAATTTTTTAACTGCACCAAAAATGTCTTCTACTGCTTTAAATAATTTAAGATATACCAGTGGTTAGGCTATGAATTTCATACGTATCTACAGCATCCTTTGGGCCTAATATTCATAGAATTTTAAAGTAAGGGAGGGCAACAGCTGAGTTGTTCACAGTTTACATTGGAAGAGGAAAATCTCTAGATTTCCTGGGCTATACCACAGTTTTCCCAGGTCACGTAACAGAAAAAAACACATGCTTTTTTTGTAGTTCTGTTCTGTAATATTTAGATAATGTTGCCAATGTTCACTCATAATGGAAAAGGGACTGAAATGATACTGCAAACAGCAGCTGTAAGCCATTTATGAAACAATTCCACTTGCAGCATGGAGGTTACAGTCTTAGTACAGCTTGCAGTGAGCAGGTGTACGCTGTGCCGTCAGTGTGCTCCAGCAATGGGAGGGCTGCCCTTGGTGTTTGAAAAGCTATGGTTTTAAGTGATCAACCCAAAGACAGGAAGCCCCCCCCAAAAAAACCTGCCATCCCTGGCTTATTGTACCTGCTGAGGGTGCTTAGGGTTGGAAGGACAGTTTAGGCAAACACTTCAGTGCCGTGCTCTCCTAAGTCCCAACCCTGGGCTATCAGCTTTTACAGCTCCTGTTCCAGAACACCAGCAATTTGTACTTGAGAAGTTTCTTCATCTCAGAGGTCCAAAACACACTATTTTTTTTCTGACAAAGTACTTTACAAACAGAGGCTGCGTGAAAAAACTTGGTTGAAAAGCTTATCTTTTCCTAAAGACAATGCAGCAAGAACCTGAGCCAACAAGTTTACCATACAGCTTGCAAAGATGAAGCATTTATACAAAAGAGATTAATTGATACTGCTTTTTGTGAAAGGATTCTAGTCTGCAACAGTGGAACTGCCAGTGTGCACAGTACCTTCCTGTGCTGGTTGTCATGCTGTAATAAAGATAAAGGAAGGAAAGAAATGCAGGAAAAAAAGATATGGGAGAAGATTAATTTCTGTGAGAAAATCTGTTCTATTCTCAGCTACCGAAAAAATTGAAAGTTGGTTGCTACTGCAGTTAACGAAGGTGCAGTTAATCAACGTGCTCCTGCCCCCACTGATTATAAATCATCACATCAGCATTTGTAAAAGCATGCAGTAATATAAATGTTCATGCTGGAAAAAGAACTAGACAAAAGCAAGGTTGCTCCAATGATTTACAAAAGCTTCTCATCTCCATTTAATTTGCGCCTTGTAACAACACTCAGTGTACCAGAAACATACAGCAGAAACACTGACTTGTAATTTACCTGAGATATCTCAAGGAGTTATTTTCTATTCTTAAATAAAGAGTGACCATCAGGAGAAAAGGACACAGTTTTAATTTAGTATATGAATGCCTCAGAATAGTACAGTGTACTGCAGTGCTGTATGTGAAGTCACAGCAATACATAAATGAAACGGAAAGCAAAAGATAAACTCAATTAACAAATCATTCCTTGTTTAGCTCAGTTATTTCTCAGCATTACAGCCACACCACATTAAGTACTTCCCAACACTCCACACTTTAACATAAGGTCATAGAACTGTTATTTAGACCTTACAAAGCAAATGCAAACATTGAAAACATGCCATGGGACAGCTGTGTGTCATTCCAAACCTGCAGCGTGCACAGAGCTGGGCTCAGGGCTACAGAAAGAGCTCAGGTAGAGAAGGTTACACCGAAAGAGTTAACAGGTTTGCTGCCAAAAGAAAACAGGTTTGTTTCACATCCTGCCTCTGTTGGATAAAACAGCTGAAAACAGGATATAGGTAAAAATCCCTGGTTTAAAGGCTCTCCTGATTTATAGTTGGTATGGAACCGAGGATTGCACTATGCATCCACAAGTCAATATTTCAATTAATATTTCAAATGAAAAATAGACAATCTTTTCAAAAGATCTTTTTCTGTTGGTCAGGTTACATTTTTACAGAAGGCTAGCTCTCACATTAGGCTAGCTAATATTTCAAAATTTATAAAAAAGTGGAGGTTCACAGAACAGAGATAACCGAATCTCCACGGTTGTCGTGTGTTCATCACTCCAGTTTTGACTCAGGTTCTAGAATTTTAATTCAGAGGTTCATATGTTAGTGCCAAGAAGAAAATGGGATTCCTCTGCCTGTGAAAAATGCGTTGAAAATGCTGAAAATGAAAATGTTTCAGTGCATTTTTTTAAAAACAAATGTCTTTCTTCTTGCTGTCTTTGGGGCTTTACAAATCGAAAATCCTACCCAGTGTAGCCCTTCTCCTTTACAGCAAAGCAGAGAGTGATTATTTCTGTAAAGTGGAGACTCGCTAGGACAGAGAGATGGCCAACTCCCAGCCAGAGAGGAGAAAGCTGTGGGCAGGTAGAAGGGCTCTCTGGCAGACTTATCTCTAGACAAGAGGGACAGCTGGGCCATTCCATACAAGATTAGGAGCTACATGTGAAGGAGTTATCAAGCAGCCTCTGTGAAAGGGTGGAGAGTTTATCCTGAGAAATGGCTGATTTGTCAGTAGGAAGACAGGCATGGTTACCTGGTACACACTGCAGAAGTTGTAGACACCATACCAAGGACCAGTGGAAGGGAAGAACTATTCTCCTGCTCCAACCTTGCTACCTGAAATACCAGGAGTTACAGAGCACCACCACAGCCAGAGGCAGGCCGAAAGGAGGAACCTTTTAAATTCTTTATTCTTGTTTCAAAATACAGAAAGACCAGTGCTCCTGCTCCAGTCTAGTTGTCACCAAAACCTTCCTGTTCCTGTGGGATTTTGCAAACATACTGTGTCAAAACCTAAGGAGAAAAAGCCCTCTGTTTCTGTAACGTGCTATTTTAAAAAGCCTGCAGTCTGCCTTCACAAATCAGCAGCACTCCATCCAGCTCTTCCCCACAGCAGGCACCCCCTGCCGTGCTCCCTGCACCCTCCCCTCTGCTCCCATACCCACCCACACCATCTGACACCACCTCCTGACTCCTCGTGATACTCACAGGGTGCAAAGCAGGTTATCTGCAGCACACACTGATCCCTGTCCTTATTGTGTAGGACAGTATAAAGGGAAATCCCACTTCCACTGAACGCATGGAAGATGCAGCCAAATTCTTTCTGTCTTTGTCCACATTTCTGAGTAATGCCTTGGCAGGAGCATTCTTTCCCCTTCCTTTTATGATGGTATCTGTTTTGAGTTTGAGTTCTGGAAATCCTCTCTTGGAGTGCAAAGTGTACCTTTGCGCTGCCTGAGGAGAATAGGGGCCTAATGCTGCTGTCATGCAAATGACAGGAAATCCTGCCATTGATGGGAAATGTTCCTGCGCTGACTTCCGCTTCAGAGCCAGAGTCTCCACAGGCACAGTCCTAGGCTTCCCCCTTCCCTTTGTAGGACCCCGAGTTCTGCACCTGAATTTAGAGATTTGCAGCATCTTAATGGATTCTACTGTCACTGTCTTTCAGATAAGTAAGAAATGTCTGAATGAGAACTAGTTTGCTTGTGTTAGGGCTACACCAACCAATCCCTACTACCAACAAGGTATTGGATTTTTTTTCACTACCTTATTTATGAATCCACATCACAATAGTACATTGTGCCTGTTTATTCAGTTCTGTTAGTGCTTTCATTAAAACAAACAAATACTACTACACTATACATACAGCAGTATCATCCAACTTACCAGTGCACTTCAACAATGAAACATATCCAAGTGGAAATTGAGAATCAAGGCCAAAAGCAGAGGGTAGGCTACTTTTAGAAGGACAACAATGGGATGAAACAGACTTGCTTTGCACATTTCCAGTGCCAGCAGCAGTACTGATAAGTTTAGAATTGGAATAGTTGCATCGTCCAGTAACTGCACTTAGAGATTACTCAAGATTCTAACAGGAAGAAAGCAGTACACTTGTCTTTGCAATACATCGCACCATTTTCCTTCTGTAAAATAGAGAGCTTTATTACCTGTCTTATATAGATTGATCTTCAGCTTCATTAAATGAACATTCCAATAAACAGCTACTAATTGAGGGAAGTAAAAATTTCCACCTCAGCACAGGAAATACCTCCACTGCACTTCGGATTCGGGCAGCAGAGCCACAAAGTGCAGCTCGGCTTGGAATGGGTGCTTCCCAAGCAGCCAGGCTGCCCAGCACCAACATTCCGGGTGTTCCCATGCCGCAGTGCCAGGCTCCTTGCAGGGGCTCGCTGCCATCACCTGTGAGCAGAACTCTCACTGGGTCACCCTGATGAAAGCCCTCACAGATCTCACTTTTATCACCTCCATAGAGACTTATACAATGTGTAAGTAACAGCACTGACAGCACACACCATTGCAGGTTCAAGTGGCAAAACTGCATTAAGTCACTGTCATTTCCTGATGGAAACAAAACCTAACAGAGAGCAATCTAGCTCTAAAAAATGTCATAAAACACAGGACAGCTTTCCTACATCTGAGGAATGAATTTCCTAGCTTTGCTTTTTCAGCACTGTAAGCTGGATATTTGCTTCCCTAGTTTTATTTTGGTTTGAAGCTGAGATTTCCCTGACTCTGAGAGCTAAACTGTAAGTAAAAACATTGAAAGGCTCATTGTAAATTCATAAGAACAGCAATAATATCATTTGTATCATCTCACAACACATGGGGATTTTAACAATGGAAATGTTCCAGGAAAAGACTGTAACTGTAGGGGTTGGCAGAAAAGGTCTTGAAGTTAATTAAGCCTGGTCTGGAAGTCTAGTTGAATAAGGGCAGGAAACAGAGAAGAATGAACTGACATTTGAATTAGACATTTAAAAAGAGGGAAAAACACCGAATACTAATAACCAAACAAAACAGATCCAGACACACCCTGTTGTTTTAGCCTTTTGCCCAGCCAGAAAATAAGAGATTTATGTGTGCTCTCTTTATCTGCCACAAAATTAATTTTCAGAAGAAATATCAACGCATGA